ACTCTGAACCCTCGTGCCTTGGCAGTGGGTGACTTCAAAGAGTTATGGAATCATTGAGGGTGGGAAAGATCTTCAAGACTACCAAATCCAGCCAGTCCCCAGCACTGGCAAGGCCACCACCAACCCATGTCCCCAATTCCCTATCGACATGGCTTTAAAATCCCTTCAGGCATGGGGACTCCACCACTGCCCTGGGCAGCCCCTTCCAGTGTCTGACCACCCTCTCCCACAAAGAAGTTTTCCCAATATCCAACCTAAACTTCCCTCTCCTCCTGTCCCTGTTCCCCAGGCTGTCCTCTCCTGGCAGGAACTGTGCAGAGCCACAGGGTCCCCCCTGATCCCCCTTTGCTCCAGGCTGAGCCTTCCCAGCTCCCTCAGGAATTCTCCAGCCCCTTCCCAGCTCCATTCCCTGTCCTGGACACGCTCCAGGTCTTCCTGTCAGGAAGGATCCAAAGCAGCTCCCAGGATTTGAGGCCCCTGAGCAGGGCCATACAGGGGGACAGTCCCTGCCCTGGTCTTGTGGCCGCACTGGTTTTGATACAATCCAGGTGCTGTTACCTTCTTGCACACCTGGGCACAGCTCATCACATCCAGCAGCACCCCAGGGTCCTTCCCAGCTTTCCAGCTCCTGTGTGCCCAGACTGGAGCATTCCATGAGGTTGCCGTGACATGCCCCGAGTAGCAGATCCCGGTTCCGGGATGTCCCCTGTCCCCTTCAGCTGTGCAGTCACTGCCCTGTCACCACCCTGGCACTGCCCGCCAGCCCTGACGTGCCCCTGCCCTGCAGCACCCCGAGGGCCCTGGCTGTGCCAGTGGGACCTGGGCTGGTCCCAGAGCCTGACTGGGCCTGTCCTGCCCCAGGTGTTCCGGCTGGAGGACTCGTGCTGCCTGTTCACCCTGCAGGGCCACTCGGGAGCCATCACGGCCGTGTACATCGACCAGGTACGGGGAGCTGCTGGGCCCGAGCCCATCCCTGAGGTCACCCCTCGGCCCAGCCCTGGCTCATCCCTGCTCCCAGCCCTGAGCCCGTGGCTCGGCTGGAGGCACTCACCTGGGTCCCTGCATCTCTCCCTGGCCAAGCCAGAGTTTTCCCCCAGTTCCCTGTGAGCTCAGCAATCATTCCCTGGAGATCTCTTGCTTCTCTGTCCTTCTGGAGCAGGGAATCCCCGTTCCTGCACTGCCAGATCGGGCTGAACAGGCCTGAAACGGGGTCTGAGCCCCCAGGGAGGCTCTGCCCCCAGCCCCCCGGAGGATGGGGGTCCCCAGTGCGCTCCCTAGAGCAGCGTGTGCCCCCAGCTGCTCTCCCAGCCCTGGGAGTGACTCGGGTGCCTCTGCACTTGGGGCTCCTGGGGGAGCTGGGCTGCTCCCCCAGCCTGCTCAAGCTCCCAGAGAGGCGGGGAAGCCTTGGGCTGGCAGCGCCGGGCTCCGGCCCCCGCGCAGGGCGGCTCCTGCAGCGGGCACTGCCGGGGTGCCCGGGCACTGAGGCGGCCCCGGTGCCCCGCAGACCATGGTGCTGGCCAGCGGCGGCCAGGACGGGGCCATCTGCCTGTGGGACGTGCTGACGGGCAGCCGGGTCAGCCACATGTTCGCCCACCGCGGGGACGTCACCTCCCTGACCTGCACCACGTCCTGCGTCATCAGCAGCGGCCTGGACGATGTCATCAGCATCTGGGACCGCAGCTCGGGCACCAAGCTCTACTCCATCCAGCAGGTGGGACCTGGGGGCAGCTGCACAGGGTTAACCAGGAGGTGCTTGGCTTGGAGAACCCTCGGAGACCACAGAGTCCAACCACCCCCCTGCGCTGCCAAAGCCACCGCTGATTGTGTCCTCAGATTCACATCCACAGGGCTGTTAAATCCTTCCAGGGAAGGGGGCTGCTCTGCTACTCTGGGCAGCCCCTTCCAAAGTCTCATCACCTTTTCCATGCGGAAATTCCTGCTGCTGCCCACCCTGAGCCTGCCCTGACCCACCCTGAGCCCATTTCCCCTTGTCGTGTCCCTGTTCCCTGGAGCAGAGCCCGACCCCCCGGCTGTCCCCTCCTGTCAGGAGCTGTGCAGAGCCACAAGGTGCCCCCTGATCCCCCTTTGCTCCAGGCTGAGCCCCTTCCCAGCTCCATCTCACACCCCTCAGGGGTCCTGCTGGGTTTTCCAGGCCCCCACCAGTCCCTGCAGACACCTCTGCTGCGCTTGGGGGCTGAGGAGCCTCCCTGTGACATGCAGGGCTGAGCTCGGGCCGGGTCCAGCGCGGGGCACCGTGCCCGCGGAGCTCAGCTCTGCGCCCTCCCGCAGGAGCTGGGCTGCGGTGCCAGCCTGGGCGTCATCTCCGACAACCTGCTGGTGACGGGGGGCCAGGGCTGCGTGTCCTTCTGGGACATCGGCTACGGGGACCTGCTCCAGACCGTCTACCTGGGCAAGAGCAACGAGTCGCAGCCGGCGCGGCAGATCCTGGTGCTGGAGAACGCCGCCATCGTCTGCAACTTCGGCAGCGAGCTCAGCCTGGTCTACGTGCCCTCGGTGCTGGAGAAGCTGGACTGAGCAGCAGGAGGGGCCGGCGGGGGGACACGGCCGCGGGCTGCTCGGCTCCGTCGGTGCCACCGGAGGACTCGGCTCACCGAGCGGGGAGGGGCCGCGGCTGCCCCGCCCGGCCCGGCGGTCCCGGGGAGCCCCGGCGGCGCGGAGGGGCAGGAGCGGGGACGGCAGCGGCTGTCCCGGCCCAGCAGCGCCGCAGGACACGGAGCAGCCCCCGGACAGCCCCGGGCCGGCAGCCGGGGGAGGGCCGGCACCGGCCCGGGCATGGCTCGGCCCGCACGTGCCTTAGGGCGCGGCAGGGCCCCGCCCGATCCCGCCCGGGGCCGCAGCGGCCCCCACTCTATTTATTTATACGCTGTAAATAGTTATTTATTGGGGCAGGGGGCGCGGGGCTCCAGCCCCGCCAGCGCTGCCCTTGACGTGTCCTGGCATAGCCGCCCTGCCCGGCTCCCTCCTGCGCCCCGTCTGCAGCAATAGCACCTTCCTCTTCCTCCTCCTCCTGCCATTCCTCCTCCTCCTCCCGCTGCGGGGCCCGAGGAGGCTTTTCTCAGGTTGGGAGCGGGCGGAGCTCTCGCCCCCCTCCTGCAGGCGCCGGGGAGGGACCCGGGCGGGGGCACAGCGGGACCAACGCGCACAGCCAGGGACCAGGACAAGGTGCAGCACCCGGGGCTGCCCCCGGGCCGGGGCTGCTGCCCAACCGGGGCTGCCCCCGGGCCGGGGCTGCTCCCCAACCGGGGCTGATCCCCAACCGGGGCTGCCCCCGGGCCGGGGCTGATCCCCAACCGGGGCTGATCCCCAACCGGGACTGCTCCTCAACCGGGGCTGATCCCCAACCTGGGCTGCCCCCGGGCCGGGGCTGATCCCCAACCGGGGCTGATCCCCAACCGGGGCTGATCCCCAACCGGGGCTGCTCCTCAACCGGGGCTCCCCCCAAGCCGGGGCTCCCCGAGCCGGGGCTCCCGGCCCCTCCCGCCCGTGTCCGTTCTCGACCCCCGGTGATTGTAGAGGCGGCGCCGGGCTGGGGCAGGGGGGACCCCCGGGACCCCGGCCCAGCCCCCGCGGGTGGCCTTCGCCCGGCTGTACCTTTGTGCTGTACAGGGGACGCTTTTTGTACCGATCGTGTTTTATAACGTGTGCAGAACATCCATTAAACGGAACTAACCCGAGCCTGGCTCCGCGCTGACCCCTCGCCCCCGGCAGCACCAGGCCCGGCGCTGCAGATAAACTCGCTTTATTTTAGTAGCAAAGAGCTGAAAAAGTCAGTTCTACCTGGAGTCGGAGCAAGTGGGGCTGGGGGCCGGAGGGCCCCCGCCCCCCTCACGCCTTGTTGAGGGTCCAGAGGGGGTCGAGCATGCTGAGGGGGTCGTCGCTGGGCCGGGGCGCCCGGAGCCCCTCGCCCGGCTGCGCCTGCAGGAAGTTCTGCTTGTTCATGCGCTGTTTGCCCTTGAGGGACGCGTCCAGGCTGAAAGCCTCGGGCGTCAGCGAGGCCAGCAGCTCCAGGGAGGAGGACGAGGAGGCCGCGGGGGCAGCGGGGGGCTCCGGCGGCCCGCCCGGCCCCTCGGGGCTCTCCCCCCCAACGTGGTTGCTGCTCTCAGCATCGCCAGATGCCTCGGGGAGGGGCGGCCTCGGGGAAGGGGGGTCGGGGGCCCCGACTCCATCCACGACGCCGTCAGGAATCGCCACCGGCACCTCGGGCTCCGCGGGCTCCGGGGCTGGGCCGGGATCCGGCCCCCAGCCCTCGCCGGGCTCGGCGCTGGGCGCGCCCGGTTTGATGCTGAGCTTGGCGATGGTGGCCTGGATGGAGCTGATGGGCACGTCCCCGCCCAGCACCAGGTCCTGCGGGTCCTGCTGGAAGTAGAGCTGGCGGAGAGCGGCCCGTGAGCCCGGGCGGTGCCAGCGCTCCCCAAAACCCGCGGCTGCCCCTGGACCCACCTTGGGGGAGCTGCTGCTGGGGGGCTTGGCCGGGCCGGGGCCGCCCACGCCGTGGCGCAGCAGCAGCTGCTCGGCGTGCAGCAGGACGGCCTCGAAGCAGAACTTGAGGTGCAGCTGCAGGGCAGGGGAGGCGGTGAGGCCCGGGGGGAGCAGCCCCCGGCCCCCACGCCGCCCCCAGCAGTACCTTCTCCTGCAGCATGTGCTTGCGCTGCTGCCGCATCCGCCTCACCAGCTGCGCCAGGTCCGGGATGCCGTTCCCGGCCTCCACCTCCTGCACGGCGGCGTACAGCAGGCAGAAAGCGCCGGTGCGGCCCACGCCGGAGCTGCGGAGAGACCCCCGGGCCGTGACAGAGCCCGGAGATGGGGGAGCCCCTCTCCCCCGCCCCCAGAGCCCCCGGCCCCGCTCACCTGCAGTGCACCACGACCGGCGTGTGCAGCGGGCGCTGGTGCAGGTAATGGCCGTGCACCTCCTGGACGAAGCGCAGGAGGCTCCCCTTGCTGTCGGGCAGGCCCCTGGAGGGGGAACACGCATTCGCTGGGGGGGCTCCGCACTCAGGCCCCCCGAGACGGTCAGGGCCGCCCAAACGCCCTCCCCGACCCCGGAGCCGAGGTCCCAGAACCGCCCCCGCAGAAGATCGGGGCCCCCCCCAAGCTCCCCCTTTGTCCCCCGGCGTACAGCTCAGGCCAGGAGGTGAACTGGAGGTGGGCCACGGTGCGCTTGAGGCTCTGGTCCCGGTACTGCAGCGTCAGCATCCGCTCCACGTGCGTGGGGGTGACCCGCAGGCCGGTGAGCACCACGGTCAGGGCGCCGTGGGCCACGGGCTGGCCCCGCTCCGACGGGAAGTACCGGAGCACCTTCTGCCGGGGACAGGCCGTCAGCACGGCCCGGCGGCCCTCGGGTCCCGCCCGCGGGCACCGGGCGGGGCGTCCCGTCCCCGGGACAGGGCGCACCTTGTCCAGCTCCTGCTCGGACACCAGCATGACGACCACGGAGACCTTCTGCTCGTAGATCATGAGCCAGAAGTCGGCGGCGGTGCCGAGCAGCGGGGCCTGCGTGGCGATGAGGGCGGGGCAGTACGGGGACAGGTCCTCCACGCGGCTGGCGTTGATGTAGTCGTCCTTGCCCGAGCGCAGCACGACGCGGTTGCGGTCGTAGGGCATGATGTCCTGGTGCCGGTTCTTCATGGAGTAGCAGCGGGCGATGGCGATGGAGCGCTGCCGGGCGTCGCGCTCCTGCGCCTCCTGCAGCTCCTTCCAGAGCGCGTCCAGCTCGGAGCCGCCGCCGGGCAGGGGCCGCTCCAGCCGCTCGGCCAGGCCGCGGAACCGCTCCAGCTCGGCCAGCAGCCGCCGGACGCGCTCGGGCTCCGCGTACGGGTCGGCCTCGATGAGCTGCACGGCCCGGGGCCGCTGCCCCTCCTGCGCCCCCGCCTTGGTGGGCTGCAGCAGCCCCCCGGGCGCGGCCGAGCCGCCGGGCTGGCTCTCGGGGCTGGACGACAGCAGGTCGGCGGGGCAGGGGCTCTGCCGGGGGAACGGCGCGTCCCCGGAGCCCGGCGGGGGCAGCGCGGCGGGCGGCCGCGGCGCCGCGGGCTGCACGGGCAGGGCTGGGGACGGGGACGGCGCCGGGGACGGGACCAGCGGGCCCTGGAGCACCACGGTGCCCGGCAGCGGGCCGGGAGAAGGGGCCTGGCCGGGCGGGGCGGGCGGCCCCGGGGCCACGGTCCCGGGGGGAGCCGGGCTGGGGCAGAAGGGCAGCGCGGGGGAGCCGGGGGGCACCGGCTGCAGCCCCGCCAGGGCCGGGGCGCCGCTCTGCGTCCTGGGGAAGGGCACGGCCCCCGGGTGCGGGCCGAGGTCCTGCCCGGGCAGCGGGTAGAGCTGGGGGGGCAGCGGCGCCCCCGGAGCGGCGAAGCGCTGCTGGGGGAACTGGGCCGGGGGCGCCAGGGGCACTCGGGGGGGCTGCTGGAAGGGCAGGGGCGCCTGGGCTCGGCCCGGCGGCAGGAAGGGACCCGGGGGGAACTGCTGGGGGCCCTGGGCGAAGGCGGGCGGGGGCTGTGCCGGGGGGAACGGGGGCTGAGCCGGCGCCCCGAAGGGCTGGACCCCCGCCGCGGGGTAGGGGAAGGGTCCCGGCGGGCGCTGGGGGGGCAGGAAGGGGCCCGCGGGGGCCCGGGGCGGCACGGGGCAGCTGGAGATAGGGGCCTGCACGCTGTCCACCGTGGTGGTGGCCGGGCGCGTCCCCGGGGGCTCCGGGCCGCCCGGCTGGGCACCCGCGGGCGCTGCCGCCGGCCCCGGCGGGCGGAGCGGGCCGGGGGCCGGGCCCAGGCCGAAGGCGGGGCCGGGCAGGGGCCCGTGCTGCGGGGACGAGCGCGGGGCCGGCCCGTGGGGCGCTCCGAAGGCCGGCTGCGCCGGGGCGCGGATCAGCGGCGCGGCCGGGAAGAGCGGGGCGGCGGCGGCGGGAGCGGCCGGGGGCGGCAGCAGCGGCGCCGGGACCGCCCCGGGCGCCGCAAAGGGGCCGGGGCCGGCGGGAGCCGCGGGCAGGCGGTAGTGCCCCGGGAACGGCGGCGTGGGGGGCAGCGGGGCGCTGGCCAGCCCCCCGGGCAGCACGTAGGGCTCGGCGGCCCGCAGCCCCCCGGCCAGGGCGGCCAGCGCCGGCGGCGGGCCCGGCGGCCCGGGCAGCAGCTCCGGGGGGAGGCTCCGCAGCTCCTCCGGCAGCTCGGCCAGCGCCAGCGAGCCCAGCTCGGCGGCCTCGGGGCCCCCGGCCTCCTCCGGCGGCTTCTTCTGCAGCGGGGGCTTGGGGGCCGTGGGCCGGGGGGGCGGCTGCTTCTTCAGCTCCCTGCGGGGGCAGGGGGCTCAGCGCGGGGCCGGCTGCTGCCCCACGGGCACCAGGAGCCCGCCCCTGCCCCCAGAGCGCGCCCACAGCTCCCAAAGGCCCCGCTCAGCCCGGGGCTCTCGGTGCCCACCCACCTCTCCAGCAGCTGCTGCCGGTGGGCCTCGCTGGCCTGGCACGCCGCCCGCGCCCGCTCCAGCAGCTTGGCCGCCTTCCCCTCCAGGTCCGTGTAGAAATCCTTCCCCTCCTGGGACTTCTTCATCAGGTCCTCGTAGGCCTCGTAGGAGGCCACCAGGGTCTGCACGGTGGTGTTCCACCTGGACAGGGACACAGAGGGGCTCAGCAGGACACAGCACCAGGGTAACGGTGGGCACCCGGCTCCAGGGACCCTCCGGTTCCCATTGGGATGGGCACGAGGACAGGACAAAGCCACCACAGCCTCAGCAGTGGGGTGGGACAGAAGCTGGTGGTGGTCCCAGGGGGTGAGGGCTGTTCCTGGGCACTGAGACCCCCTCCTCACTCACTTGTGCTCCACCTCGGCCAGGGCCTTGCGCACGGCCGCGTATTTGACGTTGGCGTCGGTCAGGGCCTTGAGCACGTTCTCCTGGGCAGCCAAGTTCTGCTCCAGGTACACCTTGAGCTGGTCGTACTTCTTCAGCTGCTCCTCGAAGAGCTTCTGCCGGGGCACGGGAGGGTCGGCGGCGCCGTGGGGCAGCGCGGTCCCCGAGGGGGACGCAGGCCCGGCCCCAAGCCCACCTTCATCTCGGAGCGGTCGGCGGTGACCAGCGAGGTGGTGATGTCGTCCTTCTGGATCATCTCCCGCAGCTGCTGCTCCAGGGACAGCCGCTGGTCCCGCATCTCCTGCACCTTGGCCAGGACGCGCTTCAGGTTCTGCAGCACCTGTTTGTCCTCTGCGGGTGGGGCGGGTCAGGGGGTCCCGGGGAACCGCAGGGAACCCGCGGGGTGGGCTGGGACACTCTGTCCCCTCTGGCCCCAAACGGGACCCACTCGGCCACAGGGACGGTGCCAGTGCCGGGGGACACACGGGGACCCCCGGGGGGCACGGAGAGGGACAGCCCTGCCTCCCCCAGCACCCTGGGGAGACACAAGGGGTACAGCCCTGCCTCCCCCAGCCCAGGGGCACTGCCAGCACCCTGGGGAGACACAAGGGGCACAGCCCTGCCTCCCCCAGCGCCCTGGGGGGACACAAGGGGCACAGCCCTGCCTCCCCCAGCACCCTAGGGAGACACAAGGGGCACAGCCCTGCCTCCCCCAGCACCCTGGGGGGACACAAGGGGTACAGCCCTGCCTCCCCCAGCCCAGGGGCACTGCCAGCACCCTGGGGGGACAAAAGGGGCACAGCCCTGCCTCTCCCAGCGCCCTGGGGAGACACAAGGGGTACAGCCCTGCCTCCCCCAGCGCCCTGGGGGGACACAAGGGGCACAGCCCTGCCTCCCCCAGCGCCCTGGGGAGACACAAGGGGCACAGCCCTGCCTCCCCCAGCGCCCTGGGGGGACAAAAGGGGCACAGCCCTGCCTCTCCCAGCACCCTGGGGGGACAAAAGGGGCACAGCCCTGCCTCTCCCAGCGCCCTGGGGGGACAAAAGGGGCACAGCCCTGCCTCCCCCAGCGCCCTGGGGGCACACAAGCCCTGCCTCCCCCAGCCCAGGGGCACTGCCAGCACCCTGGGGAGACACAAGGGGCACAGCCCTGCCTCCCCCAGCCCAGGGGCACACAAGGGGTATGGCCCTGCCTCCTCCAGCGCCCTGGGGGCACACAAGGGGCACAGCCCTGCCTCCCCCAGCGCCCCGGGCTGGGACTCACCTTCGGAGAGGGCCGGGGTGGGCAGCGCTGCCCGCACCTGCTCCAGGGGGCCGCCGAGCAGGCGCAGGTTGCCCAGGTGCAGGTTCATGGCGCGGTGCAGCTCGGTGTTGGTGAAGCTCGCCTTCTCGTGCAGCTCCAGGTACTTGGAGCACTCCTTGCTGACCTCGGCCAGCCCCGGGGGCGACCCTGGCGCCGGCGGGATACTCCCCAGCAGCTCCTGCAGCTTCCGCTCCTGCGCCTCGTCCTCCTCCAGCAGGTCCCGGATCTCCTTCAGCGACGCCTCCACGTCCGTGAAGACCCCGGAGAGCACTGGGGGGGCACGGGGGGGCTGGTGGGCACGGGGCCACCTCCTGCCTGTCCTGGGCACGGAGCTCCGGGGATAAACCCGGCTGCGGGCAGCCAGGGGCTGGGACATGGCAGCCCGGGCGTTGGGGTGCTGGGGTCCTGGGCACCCCCGCCCTTGGGGCGATTCCCCCTCCCATCCAACAGGGAAAATGCTTTGGTATTCAGGAATTTGTGCCACTACAGAACCAGCCATCAGAGAAAAAACTCCCAAGACATTGGGCAGGGAGTGATGCTGGCCCCAGGGCCCCAGGCAGGGAGCAGTGCCAGCCCCGGGCAGGGAGCAGCGCCAGCCCCAGCCCTGGGCAGGGAGCAGTGCCAGCCCCAGGCAGGCAGCAGCCCCAGCCCCAGCCCCAGCACCCTCACCCTGCATGGACTGCACGAGGTTGCGCACGGTGTCCGGGCGCACGCTGAGCGCGGCGCATTTCTCCATCAGCACGGGCGGGATGTGGCTGTACATGTCCAGGTTGTCCACGGTCTCGGGGTCCAGCTGCATGGAGTCCATGAACTGGCTGTGGGACACAGAGGGGCCCCTCAGGGGTGGCACTGTGCCCGCTGCAGAGGCTGGGCAGTGCCAAGACCCCGTGGGGCAGCAGGGCCGGGCCCCTCACGTACTCCAGCACTTCGTTCTTGGCTTCGATCTTGGCCATCACATCCCGCAGCAGTTTGGCCTTCTCCTCGCTGGGAGGGGACAGAAGGGAACAGTCCATGAGCCCAGGGGAACACAGCAGGCTCCACAGCCCCAGCTATCCCATCCTGTCCCATCCATCCCATCCCATCCCATCCATCCTGTCCTGTCCTGTCCCATCCTATCCCATCCCATCCCGTCCCATCCCGTCCCATCCTGTCCCATCTATCCCATCCCATCCCGTCCTGGCCAGAGCCTGGACACACCTGTACAGGGATGCCCGGGACACACGTGTACCTGTACAGGGATGCCCAGGACACACCTGTACCTGTACAGGGATGCTCAGGACACACCTGTACAGGGATGCCCAGGACACACCTGTACAGGGATGCCCAGGACACACGTGTAGCTGTACAGGGATACCCAGGACACACCTGTACAGGGATGCTCAGGACACATGTGTACCTGTACAGGGATGCCCAGGACACACCTGTACAGGGATGCCCAGGACACACCTGTACAGGGATGCTCAGGACACATCTGTACCTGTACAGGGATGCTCAGGACACACGTGTACCTGTACAGGGATACTCAGGACACACCTGTAGAGGGACGAGGCCTCGTGGGCAGCCATGGGCACCAGCTTGGCAAAGATGTCGGGGCCGGTGACGGCGGGGTCGGTGGGGTTGACGGGCAGAGCCTTCACCAGGGGGGCACCTGAGGCACACGGCGGGCTGGCACCGCTCCCGAAGGGAGGCTCCCCCCAATCCCTGCAGCTCCCTGTCCCCAGAGCCCCCCAACCTTTCACGGACTGCAGAGTGTCCAGCGCGGGCACGGCCTCGTGGTAGATGAAGTCGTTGTCCTTTTTGGCCGAATTGTACCTGGAAAGGGGAAGCGGTGCTGGGGGGAAGGGGCAGCTGGCACCCCTGGCTCCCTAAGCTCCCCCCCAGCTCTCCTGGCATTGCCCCAGCAATTCCCACAGCAGCCATCCATGCACGGGGCCTGGGGCAGCTCTCCATGGGAACGCTCCCCAGGCTCCCTGCCCGCCAACATTCCCGACCCCTGGGAGAGGATGGAGACACCCTGGGCTGCCCCACGGACTCACTTGCCACCAATGACATCCATGGTGAACCTCAGAGCTTCCTGCACCGTTTCAGGCTGGCCCTGTGGGATGCAGAGGGCGAAGCGTTCCGGACGGGGTCGGAGGGGCCTGGAGGCAGCTGGCTCCTGACACCCACCCCAGGCCCGGGGCAGGAACCCACCTTGGCCAGCTTGATGGCCTCGTTGAGCTTGTCCAGGGCGCTCTGGAAGTAGATGACCTGCGGAGAGCGGGAGCTGGGCTGGGCACGGGGGGCACCGTCCTGGCTCTGCCCGGCCCAGGGCTCCCCACGGGCCTGGCAGTGGATGCCCAGCCTCTCCAGGACACAAGCCCCTTCCCAGGACCCCGACCCAGGGGCTGCCGAGGATGAAACGGGATGACACAGCCCCACTTACCCTTTCCCCAAACTTCTGCTGCTCCTCGGCCTGTTTCCCCATGTGCAGCTGGAAGAAAACTGGGATCAGAGCTCTGTAACTCCAGGGAGAGCTTTGAGAGAGGGGCAGGAAAACCCCAGGGAGCAGCCAGGAGCATCCCGGGGTGGGATGGGAGCACAGGCAGAGCCCCCCAGCCCCAGCTCCCCCTCACTCACGTGGGCCACGGCAGCAAAATAATAGATTTTCATTTGAACCAGTTTCTTCCAGTCCTTCTGGATCTTGCCCAGCAGCGAGGCCGTCTCCGAGTTCTCCAGGGCCCGGCAGGCCTCCTTGTAGTAATCCACCACCTGGGGGGAGGGCACGGGAGAAGCCTGGGCACCCTGGGCAGCACCAGCCCAAGGACTCGGATCACCCGGAGCAATGGTGGGGGGAGCTCAGGGATGTGCTTGGCACCTCAGCCAGGGACTGTCACCAGCCCAGGCTGCCCCAAGCCCCATCCAGCCTGGCCTTGGGCACTGCCAGGGACCCAGGGGCAGCCCATCCCAATCCATTCCAGTGCCTCACCCACCTCACAGGCAAGAATTCCTTCCCAACACTCGCCCACATCTCCCATTCCCTGGGTGCTGTCGCTCCAGGCCTTGCCCAGAGTCCCTCTCCAGCTCCTGATCCCAGTGGGAGCAGGGCCGTGCTGGGAGCAGCTCCTGGAGCTCACCTGGGCACTGATCCTGGCCACGAGGAAGCTTTTCCTGTTGTCCAGCATGGACTTCTCCAGGAGACACTCCTGTGCCTGGCCCTGCCAGGGACAAGAGAGCAATGTTCAGTGTCCCCAGCCCTTGGGACAGCCCAGACCCCTGGCAGGACCCACTGGCTCCAGCCCCTTTCCCAGGGGATGGATGTGGCACAGGGAATACCAGCCCCGAGGGCACCTGGAGAGCCCAGGAATGGCACTGAGCCTTCCCTGACCCCCCAGTGCCTCCCAAAACCTCCTTCCCCACACCCCAGGGGAGAGCCCAGACCCCCAGAGAACCCCTGGGGGACAGGGGAGTCCTGTGCCCGTGGATCCTCGGGGAGCACCAAGGCCACGGAGACCTGGAGGGGTGCCAGTGGCAGCAGTGCCCAGCCCGTACCAGCATGAGGTTGATGTTGAGGCTGAGGATCTGGTGGCTCATGTCCACGCTGTAGGAGTGTGGGAAGTGATCCCGCAGGTAGGTGAAGGCACCAGCAGCACACTGGAAGTGGGTGCAGGAAACCTTCATGCCCTGAGGGGATGGAATTGTTGGGTTTGGAGATGATTTCCCAAATCATGGAGTCCACCCAGCCCCCAGCACTGCCAAGGCCATCCCTGACCGTGTCCCCAAGTGTCACATGCACAGGGCTTTGAAATCCCTCCAGCCATGGGGACTCCAGCCCTGCCCTCGCAGCTGGGCCAGGGTAGGAGAGCCTTTTCCAAGAGGAACATTCCCAATATCCCACCTGAACCTGCCCTTGAGGCTGTTTCCCTCTTGTCCTGTCACCCGGGAGCAGAGCCCCACCCTCTGGCTGTCCCCTCCTGTCCCCAGGGTCCCTCCTGGTGCTCCAGACACCCCAAAGCCCAGAGATCCCAGGTTCTGCTGGTGCCCAGCCCGGCACAGCCCCGCCCAGCCCCGCCCAGCCCAGCCCAGCCCAGCCCTGTCACTCCCAGCTGGCACTGCCCGGTGCCGCGGGCGTTACCTCCTCGGACACGCGCTTGTCCATGGCTCCCAGCATGGAGTGCAGAGCTCCTGTGGGGACGGGGGGCTCAGCGGGGCAGGGACACCCCTGGGAGCGGGGGCCCGGGCCAGGCAGCCCCCGAGCTGCGGGAATTTGGGGGGCTCACCCAGGTTGTAGAGGACACAGGCCTGCTCGTACTTGATGTCCTCGTGCGTCACCGCCTTGCCCGAGAAGATCTCAGTCCTGGGGGCAGGGGCACAGCACAGGGAGCAAGCAGGGCTTCTCCCGAGAGCAGGAGTTACTGGGATCCCCCTTCCCCAGGGGTTCCTGAGATCCCCATCCCCAGGACCCCATTCCCTAAAGGTCCCTGGGATCCTCCAGTGCCACCCCAGGCACGACCCCATTCCCCAGGACAGCACAGGGCCACCCCTGTGCCACCCCAGGCAGGACACTGTCATCCCCCAAAGGACTCCTGGGATCCCCCAGTGCCACCCTGGCCAGGACCGCATTCCCAGGGGGTTCCTTGAGCAGCTTCTCCCCAAGGGGTGGGCATGGCCACATCCTGCCTGGCTCAGCCCCCCATCCCAGCCCCCCATATCCCAACTCCCCCACCCCAATTCCCCCACCCGACCCCCTCACCAGGTGACGGGCACGGCCGCGTCCTGGCCCTGGCCCATGGGGATGCGGCTCTGCAGGAAGTGCAGCTGCCCCAGGTACTTGCGCAGGGTGCTGCAGCCCTCGAAGTCCCTGGGAACGCTGACGGCGCTCTGGGAAGGGGCCGGGGGGAGGAGGAGGAGGAGGGAGAGGAGGAAGAGGCTCAGGGCACTGCCTGCTCCAGGCAGGACCAGCAGCTGTCCCGCAGGGGAGGCCGGAGCCAGCCGCACGCTCGGGATGGGGCAGGGCTCCGGGAAAGCCTCGGGAACAGCCGAGTTCTCCCAAAAACGAGCTCCCTCATGGATGGGGGCAGCAGGGCAGCAAAATGAGGCTCTGCACCCCCGGCACAGCTCCCCGGGCCGGGACAGCCACGGGATTTGGGTGTCCTGGGACACGGTGAGAGGAGAAACCCCAGAGCCGGGCTGGGGGTGGCTGGGCCCCCCGGGTTTGGGGAGCCTGTGGCCGGCAGCAGGAGCTGTCCCTGCCCCCCCAGCAGCTCCCGGGTCTCTGGGACCACCCAAGGGCTGCTCCGGGGATGATGCAAGGACGGGGAGAGAGAGGAGCGGCCCCGGGGGAGAGGAGCGGCCCCAGCCCCGGCGGAGAGGAGCGGCCCCGGCCCCGGCCCCGAGGGAGAGGAGCCGCCCCGGCCCCGGCCCCGGGGGAGAGGAGCCGCCCCGGCCCCGGCGGAGAGGAGCGGCCCCGGCCCCGGGGGAGAGGAGCGGCCCCGGCCCCGGCCCCGGGGGAGAGGAGCGGCCCCGGCCCGGAGCGTCCCTCACCTGCCGGAGCAGCTCCAGCTTCCGCAGCTCCTCGTTGTAGCTCTCCGGGTTCTCCCCGTAGTTCTTCAGCACGAACTGGGGGCGGCAGAGGCTGAGCAGCCGGGACCGGCTCCCGGAGCGGCGGGACACCGGGGCACCGGGCGGGAGGGGCGGAATGGCACCCACGGGCACCCCGGGAGTGGGAGCGGGGAGTGGGAACCGGGAAAGGGGAACGGGAGCGGGGAATGGGCACAGGGAATCAGGGATGGGATCGGGGAATGGCATCGGGGATTGGGTCGGGAACGGGCTCGGGAACGGCCGAGGGTGGAAAAGGCACTTACGGGCACCGGGAAGGTGCCCGGCCCAGGTGCGGCACGCCGGGGACACTCCCGGGGCCGCCCGGGCGCCCCGCAAAACCGCGGGGGGAGCGGCACGCGCGCCAGGAGCCCCGCAGCGCCCCGCACCCGCAAACTGTGCGGGCCCGGAGCCTGCTACAGCCCTTAATGAAGTGACTAATTAACCAGGCCCCGCGGGGGCGGCAGGGACACGGCGCCAGCCCCCGGCGGCTCGGGGCGGGGGGGTCCGCCATCCAAAGCTCCGGCGCCGGCGGCTGCAGGGACCCCCGGGCACCGCCTGCCCGCTCCCCGTGCCCCGGGCCCGCTTCCGACCCCTCCCAGCCCCCAGCGCCCGCCCCGCCGGGCCTTGCCCGGCCGCACCTTCTTGACGGCGGCGTTGAAGGCGAACTCGCCGGCCTCCTTGAGGTCGAGCCAGATCATGGGCATGCGGGGCACGGCCTCCATCCCGGCGCGGCGCGGCGCGGCCCGGCCCGCTCCCGGTGCGCTCCCGGCCCGGCCCGGCCCGCCGGAACCGCGCGCGGGGGCTCACGGGACACCGAGTCCGCGGGGCTCCGAGCGCGGCCGCACTTCCGGCCCTGTTCCCATGGCAACGCCCCGCCCCCACAAAGGGGAGCGCATGGCCACGCCCACCGGGGCGGGACGAGCGCTGTTGCCATGGCGACGCCTCGGCCGCTGATTGGATGACACGGCCGTTGTCACGGACAGGCCCCGCCCCGGAAGCGGCGCGGTTGTCACGGCAACCGCCACGCCCAGCCTCCCCCCGCTAATTAATCACCCCGTTAATTAGCCTTCTCCACACCTCCCCGCCCCGCCAGCGTCCCGCAGTGCATTCACGGCTCCAGGACGCTTCGGTGGTGCCAGGGACACCTCGTTGTGCCCCTTGAACCTGCTGGTCTAACTATCTGCTCCGTTAATTGATGTGCTCATCTAATTGTTTGAGCCATTAGCGGAGCTCTTTGATGGGTTCTGGTAGAGGAGCAGCTCCTCAGCAGCTTCAGGATCCCAGCAGGAGCAGAGCTGAGCCCCCGGCGTGTCCCTGTCCCGGCTCTGCTGCCACCCAGACAGGGACCGGGCACTGGGGACACAGGACGTGAGCTCAGGGACAAGGGACATCAGGATTTGGGGACCCTGGGCACTCGGGACACTGAAGTTAGGGGAAATGGGGCCATCTGAGCCTGGCACATGGGGATAGCCAGCCCAGGTGACCCTGGGGACACGGGGGGCTCCTGCTCCCCTGGGGAATCTCTGCTCCAGCACCTGGAGCAGCTTCCTCCCCCGAATCCCCATTTCCATCCCTTTGGACCAGAAACAGGAAATAAAGAAGCTGTGGAACCAAAGCACGTTAAACCCACAGGTTCAATTATGGGTTTAATTATGGGTCAATTAAATGGGTTTAATTCCTCGATTGTGGCGCCGCCGAATCCTCCTTGTTCTGCCAAGGGGAATCTGCCACACCAGCCTGGCCTCTCCTTCCACGCCTCTGGACAGGTCCCTGTGGGATAAAGCAACACAGCTGGCAGTGACAGGGGCACACAGCTGGCAGTGACACCAGGCAGTGACACTGGCACACAGCTGGTGGTGACACCTGGCAGTGACAGTGGCACACAGCTGGCAGTGACACCAGGCAATGACACCAGGCAGTGACAGCAGCACACAGCTCGTGCTGCCAGCGCTCATTAACCACCACAGAGTTAATTACACTGACAAGAGCCTTGTGCCCACCTTCTCCTTCCTGCAGCCTTCCCGGAGCCCTCTGGATGCCCACGGAGGGAGCCTGCAATGGGAAAGGCAGGAATGAGGAATGGCCC